TTTATCATTACATATAGTAAGTAATGTTGATATAGAAGGGGGTAATTTACAGTTGCCGTTGTCACAACTCTCTCTTCTGACTTGGGATGAAAAAAATAATGCAACAGAGATAGTAGCAGCTATGGAAGATACCTGCACTGTATGTTTTCCCAAAGAAGGGAACAACTGTCTTTGGTAGAAACCAGGAAAAGAGTTACAAAGACTCCGACTAGAATGTGGTGAATGGATAGTTTAGGGAAGGTATGGCCACGTCGGGCCTCTCGTGGGGGATGTTATTGGGGCAGCTCAAGATGCGAGGGTGATGTCGAAATTTCATTGTGGCTGGCATTTAGGATGCTCAGAGGAACTGGGAAGGTTAGATAGAACTTTGAAGAACCTCACTTATTTTTTTATTCTGAAGCCAGTGTGGAGCAAGTAGAGCTATTTAAACAGGGTGAATGACACAACTCGATTTGTTCTCTAGGAAGATAATTTTGCTACCAGTTTAGAGGATAGATTTGTAGGAGTAGGAATTAATGATGGGACTTACTATTTAAAGCTTGCACCAAAAATTCAAGAAAAATGTGATGAATACTAGTGGAGATGGGTAAAGGAGGCTCCAATGAGAATTCTCCGTGGGTACTGTACAGTAATATTTGTGTTACGTGATTATTTGTGTCAAAGATAACATGGGTTGAATCTTGGGGCTTCTTCTTCCCTCAAACCTCCTGTGTTGACACTTTAATACCTAGAACCTCAAAATGTGAATGTATTTTGAGGTAGATTTTTTACAGAGGAATTAAAATGAGATCATTTTGGTGGGTTTTCATCCAAAATAACACGAGTTTTCATATAAGGATAGCAGATTTGTACACAAACATGTACACTGGGAGACGATGTGAAGACACACATAGAAGACTTTGAGAAACCAATGAGAAAGACCCAAAACAGAGCCTTCCCTTGTGGTTCTCAGAAGGAGCAGCCCCACTGCTGCTTTGTCTTGGACTTGTAGCCTCCAAACTATGAGATAATAAATCTCTGTCGTTAAAACCCCTAGTCTTTGGTACTTTGTAACAGCAACCCAGAAAACCAGTATACAATTATGTGGGAGATGCTTAAATCTACATTAACAAGGATGTAGTACACAAGAAAATAATACTGGTTACCTTTGAGGGGTCAATAATGGGAGGAGATCATATGCTATGTGCTTAACATAATTATTAACCATAATATTGAAAATAGTTCTGATTTATTAAAATTGAAGAAAACAAATTTTTTGGCGGGCAATTGCTATGACTTGTTAGTATAATGGGCAGAGGAATGGGTAGTTGAGAAGAGGATCAAGAAGGATTTAATATTTCTAGCTTTTGACATTGACTGGCAGACAATCCTTTAAAAACTAAAGGAAAGGATGTGTTTCAGTTCATTTGTGTTAAGTTGTAAGACTTAGGAAAATACTCAAAATTACCCATTCTCCATCTTGTAGTCGGTTCCTAAACTTTGGGACAAGCTTAGAGTTGGTACATGGCTTATTGTTTCATCACCTCTGAGACAGTAAAAATTTTTAAACTCAAAAAGGTTAAAATATACAGAAGGTGCATCTTAGGGACTATTCACTGAGGTTTAAACATGGTAGTTAAAGGCTAAGAATGGGACTGGGAAGAATATGAGCATTCATGAGTGGAAAAGAGGAAGAGCCAGTCAAAAAGATGAAGACGAAAAGGTTTGGTAGGCAGATAATTGAATCAGAATGGAGCTGTCCAGGACAGGCATTATGCTACCCACGTCACATATGGGAGTGCTGGTTCTAGCCTAGCTCCTCGGCTCTGAACAAAGATGCCTGCTAATGCATGTGGGAAACAGCCTGTAACAGCTCATAGGCCTTAGTTCCTTCCACTTCCATGGGAGATCTAGATGGAGCACCTCCTGGTTTTAGCCTGCCTGGCTCTGGCTGTTTCTGTCATCTGGGGAATGAACCAGTAAATAAATACTAAGAAAAATGGAGTGATGTCCAGTAAGTCATTTATGTAAGAGGACTTAAGATACAGGGAAGTATAAATTAAATACGGGGGTAAGTGTTCAAGTGTTTGGCTTAGTGGTTGATACTGCTTGGAAGGCTTGCATCCCATATCTGATTGCCTGGGTTCAAATCCCAGTTTTGTTCCTTATTCTAGCTTCCTGCTGGTGCACACCCTGGGGGGGGGGGGCAGCTGGTGATGAACCAAGTACTTGGACCTCTGCAACCTACATGGGAGAACTGGATTGAATTCTTGGCTCCCAGCTTTGGCCCAGCCCAACCCCAGTTGTTGCTGGCATTAGGGAAATGGAGGAATGAACCAGTGGATGGTGAACTCTCTCTCTCTCTGGCTATCAGAGTTAATTAATTTTAAGATTTACACATGAGGAGCCAGCACCATGGCTCACTTGGCTAATCCTCCACCTGCAGCGCTGGCACCCCAGGTTCTAGTCCCAGTTGGAGCACCGGATTCTGTCCCGGTTGCTCCTCTTCCAGTCCAGTTCTCTGCTGTGACCCAGGAAGGCAGTGGAGGATGGCCCAAGTGCTTGGGACCCTGCACCCACATGGGAGACCAGGAGGAAGCACCTGGCTCCTGGCTTCGGATCGGCGCAGCGCTGGCCGTAGCGGCCATTTGGGGAGTGAACCAACGGAAGGAAGACCTTTTTCTCTGTCTCTCACTCTCACTGTCTGTAACTCTGCCTGTCAAATAAATAAATAATTTTAAAAAAAGATTTAAACATGAAGTATAAAATTTACAATTTTGTTTTAAATTTGAAACATATATATGTAACTAAGTAAAGAGAATTTTGTTAATCTATTTTACACTGAATGCCAAAATGAAATTTGTTGGTAATCACTACTAAGTAAAATATTTCTTCATCTACTGATGTCATATCAGTTATTAAAATGGATAATCCCACTGTAACCTATAAGTTATGTTTCTACATATTGAAATGAAACTTTCTAAATAAGCAAATAATAATAGTAATAATATTCATTGTATAAAAATTGCTGAATACAAAAGTCTGAATAAAAATTTTAAGTCATTTTTAATATCACTACCTAGAAATATATACTATTAGTATGCAAATAAACCTGATTTGGGCCATTTTTTCCCTACAGGGTTAAACATGTGCTTCCATTGGGGCATTTATATGAATGTTGAGTTTCTGTCCAACATTGCCACTTACCTTTATATCATGAATATGATCCTGTTTCATTAAAAGTTCTTCAAAAAAATTTTGCATGAATGCAAAATACTCTACCATATGGATGTTCCATAATTATTTGATTATTCTCATTTGACATTTAGATTGTTTCTAGTATTTCATTTTAAACACTTATTAATATTTATATACATTTCTTTTAGTTTTCTTGGGCTGGATTTCTACAAGTAGGGTTAGCTCTTGAAGCTTATGAGCATTCCAAGACGTGGTGTGCGTTACTATTTCTAGTGTGTATTCCTTGAAATGTGGCAGCAATTCTCTACTAACAACGTAGGAAGATACTAATCTTGCTATTGTGAAAAATTTCATTAATAAAATTGTTCAGGATATATTTAGGTTATTTAATATTACAATACAATAAGCACACAGTTACTATTCCTAAATATTGTTCTATTTTGATGGAACCCAAGAAACTGAGGTATAATAAAGTATTATGATCAATTAATTGAGTACCTACCCTTAATAATGCCAAATATTGATAATAAGAGGACAAAAAAGGATTTTTGGCCTTATATTCATACAGAATTTTCTGGATTTTTTTCCTCTATCCCATATGTAAAATACATTAAAAACTTTATTTGTGCTCAAAGTAGGCACATGAAAGTTATGAACCACTTACTAAATATACTTACTAAATAACTACAGCTACTACTTACTAATAAAGCACATAAATTCAGCATAAATTGGTAGGAGGAGTGCATTGGGGGTGGGCAAGGGTGACTGAGGTATAACAAATCTTTCTATCTAATTACATTTACAGGTGGCAAATGCATTATTAAAATAGTGCTTAGTGTCTTATGTTTGAAGTGAAAATTGTAATTAAAGAGTGTGTTCTCTCCTACTGCTAGCGCTTTACCATACGGGTCTTGTCATACGGGTCTTGTCTCTTTGTGAGTTTTAAAAGAACAATGAAAAGTGATACTGTTTCTGTTTCAGTGAACAGCACACATTTTGGTGTATCAAATAAGCGTTTAACCTGTCTAAGGAGATTCATTGGCATGTTTTAAACATCTCAAGTGTACTGTTTTATTTTTCTAAAGGACTACTGTGACAGCTTCTTCAGATCTTAGATTTATGTGTAACCTTAGGCAGTCACAATGTGATGTTAGTTTGCTAACCACATTCCATTACAAACATTTCATAATAGCCAATTGTGTTCTCAAATTGAGTATTTCCTCTCTTAACTCTTTTCTAATTTTGAAGATAGCCTCTGAGTGGCATAAAGAAAAATAGACTAACACTTGATAGGCTAATTAGATTTTTTTCCCTATTTAAACTAAGATTTCTGATTCCTGAATCTTCTAGATTATTTTTCAGTGGCAGAGGAATCATTTCACCGGTGATAATACCTTGATGCCTTAATAATTATGACTATTAATTTTTCATCTCTGTCTTACCTCTATAATTAAATGAAAAACTATAGTCCAAGAACTGTGTTTTAGATATCTTATTTATTTGTGGCAGGCGGCAGCATAGACCACTAAAACCCGTAGATGTTCAGCCAATAATTTTTGAATTACTTTGTACAATAAAATCTAAAAGCTACAAATTATTACTTATTATGAATTAAAAGATATTCAAAATGATTGTTCATTCTAGTATAAGTAATTACGATCACTTTTTACTGTTAAGTGAAAAATCTAAATGAAGGTGGGTGTGTTTTCCTGTATGACTAGAAGCTTATATGAGACTAGTTCTCTGGATGACAGAGCCGTTGTCTTTGAAATGTCGCTCTCTTCTTACTCCTCTTGTCTGTTCTGTTGCCATGTTATTTTCAGGGACTCCCGAAAGCCTCGCTGAGAAAGAGCGGCAGCTCATGGGGATGATCAACCAGCTGACCAGCCTGCGAGAGCAGCTATTGGCTGCTCACGATGAGCAGAAGAAACTGGCGGCATCTCAGATCGAGAAACAGCGCCAGCAAATGGAGTTGGCCAAGCAGCAGCAGGAACAGGTGAGTGGGAACCAGAGAGCCAATCACATTCCTCAGGCATTGTTTTGCCTGCTATGTGTAGGTCACCATCCTGGGATGCAGAGATGAATCCCATTCCCTCCCTCCTCCCTCACTTGGACAAATAAAAAGGCAGAAAACAAAGCAAACAACAAAACACCCAGAACTTAGGAAGCTGACTAACTCCTTTGGTGTTAACTACAGAAATGCAGCTGGCTCGTTGTCTCCCTAATCAGAAAATCTGAAATCTAAAATATTACAAAATCTGAAATGACGTGAATGCCAATGTGATGCCGTGAGTGAGATGTCCCACACTTGACCTCTTTGAACAAGTCACAGTTAAAATGCAGACACACTGAAAACATTGTGTGACATTACAGGTGCATATGAAATATAAATGCATTTTGTGGTCAGACTTTGGCCCCATCCCCAAGGTATCTCGTTATGTATGTGTAAGTATTCTAAAATCTGAAAAACTCTAAAATCACATCACTTCTCATGTCAAGCACCGGAGATAAGGGAAACCCCATAGTGATACTCAAGGCTAATGCTGGTGGCCATGAAAAAAAGTACTGAAAAAGAAACCTGGAAAGTCAAGGCACCATTTTCATGGAGGACTATTTTGAGAACATTTATCGGACGAGTGACATTTGAAACATGATTTGACAAGTAGTCAGGATTCAAGAAGTGAGTGAACGTTCCATTTAAGGGGCAGGAAATTTAACGAGGAGCTTTTTAAAAGAGTGAGAATGTGAATTAGGCAAGGGAAAAACTAGGGGCAGAAGAGAAAGGAATGAACAAGGAGAAGAGTTCTTGTGGTAGAAGATCTGAGAGACACAGACGGAGGCACAGAGGTGAGCCTGGGGAACAGGGAGAGTGAGAATGAATGCCATCGCCCAAGATGGGCAAAGGCCGGGAGGAGGGCAGATTTGGAGAAGGTGGCTTTACCATACTGTAGTGGCGGTATTGTCAGATTGAAAATTGGAGGTGTGTCAGAGACAGATACAAGTACCCATCAACACTTCAGAAGAAAGAGCTTAGCTAAATTTCTTTTCTTTTTTTTTTTTTTTCCGACAGGTAGAGTGGACAGTGAGAGAGAGAGAGAGACAGAGAGAAAGGTCTTCCTTTGCCGATGGTTCACCCTCCATTGGCCCCGCGGCCAACCGGGACAGAATCCGGCGCCACGACCGGGACTAGAACCCGGTGTGCCGGTGCCACAGGCAGAGGATTAGCCTATTGAGCCACGGCGCCAGCCAGCTTAGCTACATTTCTTAGAACCTGTCTACATAGAGATGGTAGTTTAAAACTACCAAATAAAGTAAAATCCATTCGTGCATTCAACAAATGGGAATCTCCTGCTTCTTATATGCCAGGCGCAGTGCTGGCAGCTGAGACCGTCTCAATTAACCAGCAAGACAAAGCCTCTAATTCTTAGTGGAAAGACAGAAATGATGAGCAATGAACGGACACAGTAACAAAATATTATCAGATAGTGATAAGTTAGTCTGAAGAAATGTAAGTAAAGAGTAATAGAAAGGCACTTCAAAAAGTTGATGGAAAATGAAGTTAAAATGTAAGTTTGTGTTCTTGGGGAAAATGTTGAGATCCGTGCATGCAAGGGCTTTTTCCAAAACTTCATGCAAGTTGGGCATTGTGAAAACTGTGTAGGCACAGACTGCACCGCTGCACACTTGTCTTTTAGTTGCAGTTTTGTGTGAACTATTTGAAGTCCCCCATCCAATAAATATCGAGTGGCATGACAAGGCAGTACTTCTTCGATTGGGTGGATTGATAAATCCTTCCACGGCTGTGACAGCTGACCTCAGATCTAAATGACATACAGGCAGCCATCTTCATATCTGAAGCCAGAGTATTTTATGCAGAGGAATGACAGGTTTATAGGGCTCCAATGACAGCAGTGATACCACAAGAAAGTGTAAAGGAACTGAGGGGAGGTCCTTGAGAGATACCAGTGTACAGCTGGCAGAGAGGGGAGAATGAACACATTCAGAGGTAGTTATCTGCAGAAGGAGGACCAGGAGTGCACGGCCATCGGAAAAGATGGCAATTTTAAGAGGTAATAGGAACAACAGAAAAGCAGTTGTTCTAACATCAGATTAATTCCTAAGTCTGTCCTTTCAGTGTTCATTGGTGGCCTTTAGCAAGGCAGCGTCTATGGAAGTGTAGTAGCAGAAATCCATTATTGACAGCAGATGGTTATGCAATAAGACAGTGGAGGTGGTGCTCGTGTCTTCTTCCTTAAAGAAGCTGGTAGTAAGGAGAAGGTAAGACGGAGCGTGTCCTGTGGTCAGCTCACTGCCTCTTTTCCGTGGCCAGGTCCTTTTACCACATGTTCTACTCTCTGTCCCCAGTGGGAGCGTCCTTACAAGTTAAGTATTTGTGTGCCTGCCTATCGCTGAAAACCTTCCAGGCAGCTTTCGAGAGATAAACTAGCAGGGTCGAAAGAGGTGAAGAAATATTTAGATTGCACTTGAGGAGCCTCCGATATTCTCATTTCACTGTTCTTCCCCGGGTGGTTCCTCTTTGCTTGAAAGATGATCTTTTTGTTTTTAAAGAATTGCCTCGTCAGGCTCCTTAAAGATAATTTTGCCTGTTATTGGATACATCTCATATTCCTCTTGCTTTACCCCTCTTGATAAGGGAGCTCACAATGCCTACCTGTGACAATGTCAGCGGACACCATGTTTTTCTGTCCCTGACACACCAGGCCTTTAGACATCTGAATTCTAGCGAATCCTAGGAGCCTCTGAGGGAAGGGTGCTGTGGAGAACCCTGCTTAGTTTGTCTTGAGAAACCTAAGCGATCACTAATGGAGAAGATGTTTGTCTTCTTCCTCTTTCACGTTCCGACGCATCCCTGACGACCAGCAAAGAACTCTAGAATGCTTTATTGTCTCAAGGCCTCTGACATTCTCCTTGGAACCTTAGAAACCTCTTTGTTCTTCCTGACTTTCTCTCCTTTGCTGGAGAGATGCCCCCACAATGCTGCCTCCACAGCCTGAAAGAAGAGCCCTCCGGAGACCACAGGTCAGGTTGCTGGAACCCACCCTGCTCTCCTCGCCCATCTACCGTACAGAGCTGGCACACTTCATCTCCACGTTGTGGTCACAGGTCTTTTCAGGATGGGCACTGAATGTTTATTCCTAAAATTCAGGTCAGGTTTACCTTCTCTTGAGAACTTCTTTTTGACCTTTTTCCCAGCACCCCCTCCTCAGTGTGGGAAGTCCCTACTCTGTAACTCTCCAGCCCTTACAAATGTGCATAGGCCTGTCTATCTGCCAAGTCTAGCTCCATTCCACTTTCATCTGTTCAACAAGTATCTATTGAGCACCACTTAGTACTAGATCCTATTCTAGTTACTGGGAGTTTAGCAAGGAATGAAACAAACCAAAAAACAAGCAAACAAAAAATCCCTCATGTATCGAATTCTAGTTGATAGAGACTGACACTAAGTAAACCAATAAACTTTAGAATATGTTGGTCAGTGTGAGGGTGAAAACTAAAGCAAGGAATTGGGGATGTGGGTGACAGGTAGAGAGCTATTCTCTTTAAAAATGGATATTCAGGGGCCGGCGCCAAGGCTCACTTGGTTAATCCTCCACCTGTGGTGCTGATATCCCATTTGGGTGCTGGGTTCTAGTCCCAGTTACTCCTCTTCCAATCCAGCTCTCTGCTGTGGCCCAGGAAGGCAGTGGATGATGGCCCAAGTGCTTGGGCCCCTGCCCCTGCATGGGAGACCAGGAAGAGCACCTGGCTCCTGGCTTCGGATCAGCGCAGTGCTGGCTGTAGCGACCATTTGGGGAGTGATCCAACGGAAGGAAGACCTTTCTCTCTGTCCTCTCTGTCTCTCTCTCTCTCTGTCTACCTGTCAAATAAATAAAAGAAAAAAAAAAGAAAATGGGTACTCGGAAAAGATGTCACTGTTTACATAATGGTTGAGCAGACTTGCAGAAAGCAAGAGAGTAAGTTATTGACTTTCAAGCCAAAAAGTATTTCCGATGGAGGAGGAAGCAAGTGCAAAGGCCCAGAGGCAGGGATGCAGGCTCGTCCTTGGGGGATTCAAGAGACAGGAGAGCTGTGAGGCAAGAGTGGAGTAGCAAGAAGCGATCAGAGAGGTAGTGGGGAACCAGTCACATTAGCCTGCAGGTATCGTGTGGACACTGGTTTTGACTGTGTGAGACAGAAGGGCATAAGTGATAAGTAACTTGGCACAAGTTGTATCTTGATAGGTTCTCTTCGACTGCTGGTTTATAATAGATGGTAGGGAGCAAAGGTAGAAGCTGAACGAACAAATATGAAGTTCTTAAAACAATCTTTGTGTCACACAGATTAAGGCATATACTTGGTATATTTGGTAATGAAAATGATAGTGATTATAACTAGGATCAGAATCAGATCTAGAGCTAATTTATCAAAAGGCCTTAAGTCTCATGAAGTTAGTATGTGCATCCTCAGGAGGTTTTCTGCTTTCTGTCATATAGTGGAGTGTTTAAAAATTCCTTCTCACCTATTCATTCTTGCATTCTTATCAAATATTCTTTCAGTGTTCCATTTATACCAGTTTTGATGGAATAGAGAGCAAAATATGCAATCTTCTCACCTTCACTGAATTTATGGACTTGTTCTTAAGAGACAGGAACATGATCACTGAACATAAAATAAACAGCAATTAAAAAGTCATAGCTTGAAACACAGCATTAAGGAAATGAAGAGGGAGTGATGAGTGCAAACATCCAGGGGGTGATTGTGCAGGAGCTTGATAACACTTCAAATGAGCACACAGAGGGCCAGGTCTTGAGTTAGTTTTGGACCCGTTGAGTTTGAGGTACCTAAGTAAAACTTTGCAAGAAGGAGTCTTTAGCTTAAAGCAAGGTCTGCTTTAGAGAAACAAATTGAGCAGCCCTTGATATATGGAATTACAACACCGGGGAGCAACAGGTGATGGAGAAGGCATAGAGAGGGGAACCAAGAGAAAACTCTGGTGTCATCGCAGCCAAGAGAAAGCTTCTGGGGGTTGAATTCTGATGAGAGGTCCAAAGGCGAAGACTGAAACACTTTGGAATTAGAGAAACGAACGGGCTAGGTGGGCTGTGGAAGAATCACTTTAGTTAGGGAAGTGGGAACAGAAACCGGAATGTGTTGAGATATCAGCAGCCATGAAGGATTTTGTGTGGAGCAAGGTCGAAAATAAGATCAGCATTAGCTATAACAAAACACAACAATACTAAACCTTTACTGAGAAATACGGAATCTCACCATCCTTTGTGCGCTTGTGAGTGCTCCAGTGATGCAGCAGTCTTCGAGTGAGGGCTACAGTGTCACAGGCGGTGCCTTCTTAATGTATCTCCAGGATGAGGGACTTCGGAACCCCAACACTTCTCACTTAGGTAGATTAGTCGTATTTTCTTAGGCTTTATTTGTTTTAGGCCAAAAGCTACATGGCTGTTTCTGAAGACTGATGTTTTATCCCACTTAAGGATGATTTGCTGATAATTTAGGGACACAGACTTATCCACTTCTGTCATCTTAAACAGTGTCCAATAAGAGTTAGAGAAACAGGCTGGCGCCGCGGCTCACTAGGCTAATCCTCCGCCTTGCGGCGCCGGCACACCGGGTTCTAGTCCCGGTCGGGGCGCCGGATTCTGTCCCGGTTGCCCCTCTTCCAGGCCAGCTCTCTGCTGTGGCCTGGGAGTGCAGTGGAGGATGGCCCAAGTGCTTGGGCCCTGCACCCCATGGGAGACCAGGAAAAGCACCTGGCTCCTGGCTCCTGCCATCGGATCAGCGCGGTGCGCCGGCCGCAGCGCACCGGCCGTGGTGGCCATTGGAGGGTGAACCAATGGCAAAGGAAGACCTTTCTCTCTGTCTCTCTCTCACTGTCCACTCTGCCTGTCCAAAAAAAAAAAAAAAAGAGAGAGAGAGAAACAGAACATTAGAAATTCCCCCCACCCCACCCCCTGCCCAGGACTGCAATATGCCTTTAAATTTTTCATATGCAATTTCTCCACAGATTGCAAGACAGCAACAACAGCTTCTGCAGCAACAACACAAAATCAATCTGCTTCAGCAACAGATCCAGGTCAGAAATCATCATTTCAATGTCTTGCAACTTAAAAAAAGTGCATTTTGTTTCTTATTCTAATTTGACCTAACTGAAGTGCCCTTCAATGTAAAAATCACCTTCAGCCTGATTCGTGTTGTGTTGCCTTGTGGGCCATATGGATGTTGCAAAGGAGAGCTGTCTTGTCCCAGGCCCTGTTGCCTTGGGGAGCTTCGATCTAGGCAAACTAACAGTGATTTTCATCTTGTGCTGAGGAAAGATTATTATAGAGAGAAGTTTTATTTTTTCTATGATGTTTACCATGTGCCTGTGAGTGCTCTTAATCAGGTAGGTGCAAGGCACCAAAGTAGGAAAATACAGCCACTTTCCAGTTGGATAAACAGTGCCAAAGAGACCTATGCTATTGTATGTTCAAGAGCCACGTGCTTATGTGGCAACGTGGATCCTGGGGAAAGTGGTGCTTTGCTGTTCAAGACTACGTAGACCCGTGGTATTTATTGCCCTGGGAAACCAAGTCTGGAGGCTCTGTGGCCACCATACTCTTCTTAGATGGAGATGATAAGGAGAATCAGTTAAAGAAGGAAGGAAGCAGGTGTCTTGGTAAGAAGAGGAACAACCCAGTTGTCAGGGCTGTCCTGTTTGCATCATTGGCCAGCAGCATGAACTGTGAACAATTCTTGGCTTTTCTTACTGAAGATCCCCTTTCTGAAATGCACTTGATTCATTAGAAATTTTATGAGGATCAAAGGAAATAGTGGGTGAACAGCCTTAGCATAGTGCCAAGGCACATAGTAAGTGCTCAGTACATGCTTGCATTGATTATCCAGGAATCTAATTCATGGAATAACAGATACAATCTTAGGTTGTGTCATCCAATTGGGGGTAACTTATAGTTGAATTTCCCCCACTTAAGTAGGTGTTCATGATTTTCCTGAAGTTAAATCTAAGAATGGAATGTATTTTATGAAGTACAAATATCATATGTGACAGAAGCAAGTAGCCCAGAATTATTTAATTCTTGTATCAGGCATGTTTTCTGTGATTGCTGACAAAGTTTCTCCTATTTTATCTCACTGGGCCAGGTACCCTGAGCTGCTTTACTCGGGATGGTGCATCACTACCAGTGTTTGTTTTTTGTTTTGTTCTCCCTGGGGTTTTAATGAGCTGATGGCAGCAGCAGTGGACAGTAGCACATCACTGAGATACTCTAACCAGGGCCTTTGCCTTCCCTAACTATAATTATGAGCAGCATAGTTCTTTTTCCTTTATTTGTTTTATAAGTGTTTTTGAGAGAGAGCTCCCATCCATTGGTTAGCACCCTAGATGCCCTTCACAGCTGGGGCTGGGCTCAAGCCCAAACTGGGAGCCAGAATCCCAGGCCAGGTCTCCCTTCTGGGTGGAAAGCCCTCAGTTACTTAAATCATCACTACTGCTTCCCAGGCCAGCACTAGCAGGGAGCTGGAGTTGGGAACTGGAGGTAGGCACGAACCCAGGCACTCTGATATGGGATGCAGGTGTGTTCATCAGTAGGCCAAATGCCTGCCCTGTTGCTCTCGCTCTCATGCTCTCTCTCACACTCTTCTCCCTCCATCCCTTTTAAGATTTATCTATTTGCTTGAAAGGCAGTGTGACGAGGTTGGCGGGGGAGGAGAGAGATCTTTGAACCACTGGTTCACTCCCCACAAATGCCTGCAACAGCCAGGGCTAGGCCAGGCTACAGCCAGGAGCCAAGGTCTCCCCACGTGGATCTCAAGAACCCACGCCATTGGGTCATCATCTGCTGCCTCCCAGAAGTGTTAATAGGAAGTTGGATTGCAAGCACGTAGTAGCCAAGGCTTGAACCAGGCACTCTGCTGTGGGCTGGAGGTATTGCAAGCAGCAGTATAACCTCCAAGCAGCATTTACCCAGTGTGTTATTATCTATCCGCACGTGGAGTGTGATTATTCAATTCACTGCTGTAAAACCCTTCTTTGGACTTCACATTGTTCAGAATACACTGATTTTGAATACAGTTTTAATCAGTGATACCAGGTTACTGCCATTTAAAGTTTTTTTTTTAATATTTATTTTATTATTTATTTGAAAGACAGAGTTAGTGAGAGAGGTAGAGAGAGAGAGTTCTTCCATTCCGCTGGTTCACTCCTCAGATGGGCGAAACAGTTGGAGCTGCGCCGATCTGAAGCCAGGAGCCAGGAGCTTCCTGCAGGTCTCCCAGATGCGTGCAGGGGCCCAAGGACTTGGGCCACCTTCCACTGCTTTCTCGGGCCACAGCAGAGATCTGGATAGGAAGTGCAGCAAATGGGACACAAACTGGCACCCATATGGGATGTCGGCACTGAAGGCTGGGGCTTTAACCCACTGCGCCACAGTGCCAGCCCCTAAAGTTTTGTTTTTTAAATTACATATGTATTTGAGAGGCAGGGAGACAGGCAGAGAGTGAAGAGAAAGAGAAAGACAGATAGAGAAAGCAAGCAAGCTCTACCGTTTACTGGTTCACTCCCCAAACGTCTATAATGGCAAGGATTGGGCTGGACTAAAACTGGGAGCTAGGAGCTCAAACCAGGTTTCCCATGTGGGTGGCAGAAACCCAGTTATTTTAATTGTCATTGTTGCTTCCCAGGGTCTGCAGCTCTGGAAGCTGGGGTTAGTAACCAGAGCTGGATATAAAACTCATGTATTCCTAGGTGAGATGCAGGCTAAATGCTTGTCATTAAAATGTCTTTAATTACTGAAAAATAAGATTAAAATTGTCACAACAATTTCTCTTTGTAATAAGATGTTAAAGCTGTTACAGCAATTTCTTATTGTAAACAAGACACAAATCCTTCATCAGTGATAGGGCAAGTCATTTAATTTCACTGCAGTTTGAAGATGCCAATAATTTTATGTTATTTAAATTTTTTTTATTTTATTTATCTGAAGGACAAAGTGGGAGAAAGAGAGAAATCAATCTTCCATCCACTAGATCACTCCCTAAAAGCTAAGGCTGGGCCGGGACCAGGTGCTCCGTCCAGGTCTCCCGTGTGGATGGCAGGAATCCAGGGACTTGGACCATTATCTGATGCCTCCCAGGCACTTTAGCAGGAAGCTTAGATCAGAAGCTAAGGCAGAAGTACATCCCAGGCACTTCGATGTGGGATGCTAGTGTCCCAAGTGGCATCTTAATTTGCTGTGCACCAATATCTGCTCGCCGAAAATTTTTCATTTCTTGTAATTTTTATGAGACTGACAAGTCTTGTTAAACAGAATTGCGAAAATCTGTCTTAATCCATGTTATCAATTAGATTAGTCAAACCTTTAGCACTTTTTTGGGAATTATTTCATAATTTGACCACCATATTCTCCAGATAGATTTTAATAATTCTTTTTAAAAAAATTTTTTTAATCTCAGAATCACAGATAAAGAGAGAAACGTAAATAGAGCTCCCATTTGCTCCAGCATTCCTCAAATGCCCATAGCAGCTGGGGCTGGACCAGACAAAATCTGGAAGTCGGAACAGAATCCAGGTATCCCACGTGCGTGATAGGATCACAGTTCCTGAGTCGTCACCACTGCTTCCCATGGTCCACATTAGCAGGAAGCTGAAATCAGGAGCCAGAGCTGGGTACTGAACCTAGGATATTGCACTGTAGGTCACAGACATCTTAACCACTACACGTGTAGCACAGGGTTGGGGAACATCTGGCCCTACCAAGGCTACCACAAGTGGAATTGGAAATCCAATAAATCGAGAGCAGGCCAATTTTCAAGTTGGTAATTTTGTATGGCCCACAGATGATGTTATAAATATCCAAATGGCCCTTGGCAGAATAAAGGTTCCCTACCCCTGCAGCACTGCTGGAATGGAAAGCACTTGAAAGATCACCTGTCCTACAAGTGACGTCTGCAGAAACTATTCAAGAGAGCAAAGGCCAGATTTAATGATTTACCCAAGATCACATGACTAGTTACTAGTAGAACTAGGATCAGAACCAAAGTTTAGTGACTGTGAAAAGAACTTGTGTGAAGTATGAAAATTTTAAAAGCTTAGGAATTTTGTTTTATTGGAGTATTGGGCTTTTAGCAGTGCAGGCTTAGTGGCACAACAGGTTAAGCCACCCTTGGGGATGCCTGAATCCCTTTTAGAGTGCTGGTTCATGTCCTGGATACCCGACTTTGATCCAGCTCCCTGCTCCTGGGCTTGGGAGGCAGCCAGTGATGGTTCAAATACTTGAGCCCCTGCAACCCATGTGGGAGATCTGGATGGGGTTCCTGGCTCCTGGCTTTTGCCTGGCCCAGCCCCAGTCGCATCATGCATGTATTTGTCCCCTTTTCTAGGGATAGTGCAGATACATGAAACTGATGGAGTTAAAACCCATGGTTTGATGGTTAATATCATTATTAAGAACAAAAATATCTGGGAAGTAGGAAACGTCAGGCAACAAATAATAGGTAGCGAGGAAGACTTGGCTATCTGAAAGGAGTTCATTTTCACAGCTTCTAGTATCTTCATTCACTAAAACAGTCCCAAAATGTAAGTTGCAAGTTGTTAATTTGGAATACTATTAAAAAATCTTTTTAATAGGAAAGTCACAATATATTTGAGTTATTTAATGTCTGAGGTTATTTAAGCAGTTATGGGAAGCATTGATGGAGTGGCATGTGTAGGAATGGAAAATTTTTACTGTCAGACAGATTCCGGTTTTCCCCACATAAATCCTTACTATGTTTCTTTTTAGAATGTGTTCTGTCCCCGTCTCTCCTTCTTCCCACTTCTTCCTTTCTCTTAGAAACACAGAATAGGAAGGAAAAAAGTAAAAATAGAATCTGCTAGAGCAGAAGGTAAGTCAATTTTCTAACAAATATTAATATAAAGTTTTAAAATAAAAAAATGCATGGAGAGGACTTTTGGTACAATGGTTAAGTCAGTGTGTGGGATGCTTGCCGTCCCATGTCAGAGTCCCTAGTTGGAGACCAGGCTACTCCAAATCTAATCCAGGTTTCTGCTAATACACACCCTGGCAGGCTGCAGGTGAT